CATAATTTTTGAAAAAAATCACCCGTCATGTTCCTTGACATTGGTTTCCACATTTCAGTGAACAGTTTTTTCTTCAAAAGTATATCAACATGGGTCTCAAAAAAACCAGAACTTTATAGTGGTTTCAAAATTCATAATTTTTTCTACTAAAAAAAATAAAAATTAAAATATTTCAAACATATGTCATAAAAAACGATCTTTTTAATATTTAATTTAAAATTGTTAATTTTTTTAAATAAAATATAACACAATCATTTTTATATAAAACCATTATTATTTCTGAAATCTCTATGGAATTCTGGTTCTTTTGAGACCCAGGTTAGTATATTTTTAAAACAAAAAAAATTCACTATTATATGGGAGCCAGTGTGTATTAATGGTCAAGGTTGGTAATTGTTTCCAAAAATTTATTAAAACCTATGACTTTTCAAATACATTCAAACCAAAGTCATCTGTTTTTTATATTTGCAACTGGAGATACCAAAAAGTCAACACCATAAAAATAAAAGGATCAGGAGCAATATACGTATATATATATATATATATATATATATATATATATATATATATATATATATATATATATATATATATATATATATATATATATATATATATATATATATATATATATATATATATAATATATATATATATATATATATATATATATATATATATAGTATATATGTATGTATATATGTATATATATATATATATATATATATATATATATATATATATATATATATATATATATATATATATATATGTATATATATATGAGTATATATATATGATGTATATATATATATAATATATATATAAATATATATATATATATATATATATATATATATATATATATATTATATATATATATTATATATATATATATATATATATATGTATATATATATATATATATATATATGTATATATATATATATATATATATATATATATATATATATATATATATATATATATATATATATATATATTGCTGCAGTCCAATCTCAAATAACGATGGATTAAAATCAAAAGACACAAGATACTCTTTGTTTAACTTTAGTATTTGAGCATTGATCTTTTCTTTCACTAATGGAGTATTATTATGCTCAATAAGATATTCTATAAAAAAATAGACGTTATTATTATTATTATTATTATTATTATATATATATATATATATATATATATATATATATATATATATATATATATATATATATATATATATATATATATATATATATATATATATATGTATGTATATATATATATATATATATATATATATATATATATATATATTGTTAGTTAGTTAGTTAGTTAGTTAGTTAGTAGTAAACGCTGTAATTGGCAGAGCCAGCGAGTGTGTTATCAGGCACACTTTGACAGCCGAAATGATCGATTGCTGCTCATCCAGCAATCAATTGCTGCTTTAAAGTTATTGATTGAAAGCGATTTAACAATTTCTTCTGGCAGAGAGTTCCATAAATTCGCTACTCGATTAAAGAAGAAGTTTTCTCTGTGCTTATGTTTGATCATTTCCTTAGAAATTTTAAAGCAGTGACCTCGTGTACGATTGTTAACTATTGGAAAACGAATGCCTTTTTCTAGTTTATCAATATTATTCATAATTTTATACATTTGTATCAGATCTCCTCTTTGTCTCCTTTCCACTAGAGTAGTTAAGTTTAACTCTTCGATTCTATTTGTATAGGAAAGATTTCTAATTGATGATACTAGTTTAGTAGCTTTGTGCTGGATTCTTTCGATATAGTCACAATCTGATTTAAGAAATGGAGACCATACCGGAACTGCAAACTCCAGTAATGGACGAACAAAAGTAATATAAAGCATACGAAGTAACTTATAATCGAAACAAACAAATGATTTTTTGATACGACCAAGCATTTGATTTGCTTTGTTAGAAGCATTAATCACTTGATTTTTCCATTTTAGGTTTGTATTAAAAAGTACTCCCAGATCTCTTTCTGTATCTGACTCCGTTAATTGAATACTGTTTAAATTATATAAATACTTTTTGTTATTGTGGCCATAATGCATAACTACACATTTTGATATGTTAAACAGAAGAAGCCAAGTTTGAGACCATTTGTAGACAGTATCTAGATCATTTTGAAGATTAGTAGCGCATAGCTCTGATGATAATTGAGACAGCAGTTTTGTATCATCAGCATATAGTTTGGTTACATTAAGCAATTCTTTTGGAAGGTCGTTAATGTATAAAACAAACAAAAGTGCTGCAATTACCGAACCTTGTGGTACACCACTAAAAATCTTAACCCAGTCAGAAATGATATTACCTTGAACAACTCTTTGTCTTCTGTTTTCTAAGAAAGCTGCAATCCATTTAAGTAGCAGACCGTCAAAGCCGTTTGCTTTTAGTTTGGCTAACAGTCTCCTGTGCGGAACTGTATCAAAGGCTTTAGCAAAATCTAACAAAACTACATCAACTGGAATACTAACATCTAAGCTTGATGAAATGTAGTCAATGCTTTCTAAAAGATTAGTGGTACAAGATTTGTTTCTAACGAAACCATGTTGCTCTTTTGCTAGCAGATTATTTTTATACAGGTACTCTTCCATTTTAGCTCTAATAATACTTTCCATAATTTTACATGGAACAGAAGTCAATGAAACTGGACGATAATTGCAGGGAAGAGTCTTATCACCTTTTTTAAATAGGGGCGTTACGTTTGCTGATTTAAATTGAACTGGAAGTTGACTATTAGTTAAAGATGCCCTAAAAATTAATGTTAGAGGAATTGCAAATGCTTCAGCACAGTTTTTAAGCAGAAATGGATGCATATTATCAGGACCACATGCTTTATTTTGATTAAGATTTTTTAATTTATCTAATATCATTTCGTAGCTGATATCATTTGGATGTAGATCAACAAACTTTGAGTGATTTTCATTAAATTCAACTGTAAAATGTGGAAGATCCCCTTCCTTTTCATTTACGAAAACATCTTGGAAACGTTTATTGAGAAGATTAGCTATCTCTCTAGGTTCCTGAGTTAGATTACCATTAGTTGTTTTTAAGGCTCTGATTGATTCTTTGACTAGTTGTTGGCTGTTTAGGTATTTATACAGAAGTTTCGGATTCGATTTGGATCTTTTAACTAAATCATTTTCATATGCAAGACGAGCTATTTTAATTTCTTTTTTAACTAACTTGCAAGTCAATTTGTACTCTTTATACAAAGTAAGATCTTTCTATTTACAAGCACAGTTCAGGTATCTTAGATTTTGCTTTTTTTTAATTAGAGTTTTAAGATCATTTTTTATCCATGGAGCGATTTGTTTTTTTATTCGAGATACATCAAGCACTGGAATGAATTGATTACATGCTACATTTGAAAAGTGAATTAGTTTGTCGTACATTTCTTGTACAGATAAGGTTTCAAATAGCATATATATATATATATATATATATATATATATATATATATATATATATATATATATATATATATATATATATATATATATATATATATATATATATATATATATATATATATATATATATATATATATATATATATATATATATATATATATATATATATATGTATATATATATATATATATATATATATATATATATATATATATATATATATATATATATATATATGTATATATATATATATATATATATATATATATATATATATATATATATATATATATATATATATATATATATATATATATATATATATATATATATATATATATATATATATATACATATATATATATATATATATATATATATATTTTTTTTTTTTTTTTTTTTTTTTTTTTTTTTTTTTTTACCGCATATTTTCAATATGCGGTAAAAAAGCGAATATGTTAAGAACAGTCATTAATTTTGACCATAATTAATTTATTAAAATTCAAAATCTGTTATTGAACACTGATCTAGTCATCTTTAAAATAAATAATAAAAATTTATAATAAAAATAATCAGTTAATTTACATCAATTCATAAAACGTAAATACATTAAATCATATGCAAATTAATTTAGGATCATCCCTAAAGGAACTTGTTAAAGTTTATTTTTGTAGCAAAACATAAAAGGTTAAGAAAACCAAAAACTCACATATTGATGAATTTTAAGAATTATTTAATGAGTAAAGACAGCAGCTAAGAGTAATGTGATATTAATGGCAGATTTTGAAATCTAAAGTTAAATAAAGAACTTATTTTTGCAAAGTACCCTCACTTGAAAAAAAAATTTTCTTCTCGTACCACTAATCTTTTGCGTTTAACTGAAATTATTACAAAAAGGGTAGACCTCCCTGATCAGAAAAAGTTATTACTTTTTTTTTTTTTAATAATTTTACTCTGATCATAGTGATAACAGTTTGTTTGTTTCATATAAGTAAGTTTTTAGACTAATTATTCATTTAAATTAAAAAATTTGGAAATAAAATAAATATTAGAAAATAAAAAACAAAAACTCGAAATAAAAATAATCAGTTAACTTAAATCGATTCATGAAAATAGAAATAAATTTGATCACATGCATAGTATTTGGGGTCATCAATTAAGGAGTTTTTTAAAATTTATTTTTATTATTTTTGAGAGGAAGAAGACCTATGAATCTTATCAAAGAGCATTGCAAAACTTAATTGGATAAGCTTGCGTTTAATTCACAAATTCCTTGGTTCTGAGCTAGAACTATAACTATTGCGTCACTACTAAATGTCTAATTTTTAGAAAAAAGGATAGGACTCCGTGTAAATTATTATAGAATATTTTTTTATTTTCAGTAAGATATCAATAAGGTAAAGATGAAGTAATAGAGTTAACAAAGGATTGCAAGGACAATTTAGTAAACGTCACTGGGTGTCATTATCTTCCCTAAATAGAGGAGATGAATTAACAAAAAATAAAAGAAGAACAAACCCTACTTTGCCATTGTAAAAAACTGTATAGTGTGAATAAAAGTTTTTGCAACAGATAAGATCTTTCATATCAGAAAGTTTCATAAAAAAAAGAAGTACATGTTCAACAAAGATTTCTTATTTCTTTAAATAGACTTTTTTAAATAAATTTAAATAATTTGTAATAACGCTATTCTGTAATTTAAACTTCTTTTATTGAAGGTAAACAAATTTACAACAAAAAAAAAAAAAAAAAAAAAAGAGAAAAAAGAATAGAGCTATTTTCTGTGATTTATAATGTGTTAGAGCCATTTCAAACATGTTGCCTAACCATTGAGACTATTGTTGGTTCTAATGATAATCCCATAATTTCTGATTCTATACCATGCCAGAGACAGAGTCAAAGACAGAGTATTAAACGGGCTCTTAAACAAGAGCAAGGGCTTGTGTTGCTATTTATGAACATCAAAGACCAATCTAGAGATTCATTTATTATAGAAGTTTGCCATCACCAGGTAAAAGATATATAATACATCTTTAATTAACTGAATTAGAATTTTATCAATGATTAAAAATCTTGAGGATAATTATTGGAAAACCTTTAGTATTTAGCACAAATTAATATTAAATTTACTTAATATTACATTTATAGTAATTAAACTTAAATTAAGTTAATATTAAGTTTAGTTGGTATAAAATAAATTAAAATTAATATTACCAAAAACTCCTCTTAATCCATTGTTTACTGATTACAAAATAATATAACATAATTTTTATAAAACTATTATAACAATTCTTAACTTTATGTTTAATACTTCTCCGATTTGAATTTTTTTTAAATGCAGATATTCTTTCTGACAAATATACTGAAGGTATAACACACTATAAAGCATACTCAAAAATGTTCTCATTACTAAAAAAATCACATCAGTAAAGAAAAGTATATATTTTTATTTTTTGTTATTTACTATTTAACAGCCTGTCCTCAATAGTTATTCTTTAAAACATAAACATTAATAAGAAACGTTGTTTAGGAAAATAGCTAAAATAATTATTGCCGAGAGCATTTTAAAGTTTGAACTCCTTACCTCTTACTTACGAGGCAAGTCAGAGATATGGCCCAGTGGGCACGGAAGTAAAAAAAGAACGTCTTTTAAACGTCTTATACACGTTTTAGACGTTTTCTGAACGTCTTTTGAACGTTTTGGACGTATTTTAAACGTTTAAAAGACGTCTTTTTTACTTCCGTGCCCACTGGGGGTGTACATGCATGCATATAAAAACACCAATACACATAAATTCTTACTTGGTTTTCCATTGTTAATCAACAAGTCAGATATTGATCCATTTTGTGCATCATCCGAGAGATTTGAAACATAAACCATAATCTCTTTAAAATCTGTAGTTAAACAGTTTTCTACTTGATGGATATTTTTACCATTTACATCCACGGCAAACCAATATTTACTGCAAAATAGCCACTGGTATATCTTTATAAAAGACCAGTGACCCAAATTTAGCGGATTTGTTTTAACTAAGCAATTACTATTACCATTGGCTGAAGCTTGTATAACAAGTCTTCCAGATCCGTCTTCATGAAACCATACACTTAGAACTTTATCACTATATTCTTGACTGTTATTAGTTGTGATAAGTTGAAGAACACTTTTCAAACCTTTTGAATAAATCTTTGGTTTCAAATTAAATGAAATAGTGTGCTCCTTTTTTAAAACTTTAAGAGTTCCAATAAGAAAACCTTTGGTTAGAATAAATTCGTCTTTGTGATTAACATACTCTAAATTAACTGAAAAAAACTTTTTATTCAAAATTTAACACAATATACAGTCATAAACAAAATTATGTAACATTATTGCTAAAACCGAAACTCCGACAATAAAATCAAAATTATTTACATCAGAATCTATATAGCTGCAATAACTTAATTATTTTTTAATTTTATTCCTAAGAAAAAATGTATATATATTTATAGCTCTTTTTAACTTATTTCAAAAGTAACTCTATTAAACGAAGTAAGTCTTAAATTTTTCTGTCGAAAATAAGTGTGACAAAAGTAAGAAACATCAAGGTTTTTATTATGAAATATAATGTTTTATCGATATAACAAATGCAAAAATATCATGACAAAATATCACTTTTTTGCACCACCTTTTGCTTTTACGACATCTTTTAAACGTCTTGGCATGCGTTTTATTTGTTCTGACGCGACCTCATCACTAATTCATTTCCAGGTTTTACTAAAATCCTCATAATTTTTTTTTTTATTTGTTTGTTTTTAAGGAGATTTTTTGATTTTAAAATTGCCCATAAGTTTTCAAGTCGGTTAAGGTCCAGGCTTTGTGGCTCTCTTTTAAGAATAACACTTAACTTTTTTTGAGAAACTGTTGTACAACTTTGCTTGGGTGTTTGGAGTCACTTGTTGAAAAAAAAATCTGCAATCTGAATTGAATTCTTTAATGGATTGACATTATACCTTAAACAATTACTAGCCTTCCCACATTATTTGAAGTAAAGCATCCCTAAACGATAATTTAGCAACCTCTATGATTGACAGTTTATTTTAAGATTTCTATCTATGAGTGCATTACAAGGTTTGCCCTTCTAAGGTTAACAAAATGTTTTTAATAATAATCATTTTTAATAAATAGTTATTGACAAAACCATATACTTCATAATAAAACCTTAAATGTTTATTACTTTTGTCACATTTATTTTGGACAGAAAAATTGTAAAATAGCTAATGTCTTTTAATAAACTTTTGCAATGAGTTAATAAGAGTTGCAAATATATTTATTTTTCTCTAGAATCAAATTTAACAAACAAAGCAAAATTATTGCAGTTAAATAAATTATCCTTGTATAAACATCACATCATGTTTGCGCAGGTAATCTTTTAATTAAAAAAAGAAGTAATTCTTAATGTTTATTTTATCTAATGGCACGTTTTTGTTTGTTTTTTAAATAAAAATTTAATTGTGTTTATGTAATTTTAATTGTTTTTATTAGAATCGATTTAAAAAAATAAGTTGCTGTTAAAATATATGACTTAGGTTATAAATATTTTTGGTTTGTGAGAGATTTCATATTAAAAATTTAATTTGAACTTTTTTTTAAACGTGCGAATAGACAATAAGATATAAACTATTCACAGGTACGCGCGAATAGACTCACCCTTACATTAAAGCACAAACGTCAAATCAAATGATAAATATACATTATTCTCAAAAAGTTATTTATTAACGAAAAATTTTATTATTTTTTTTATTATAAAACAGGAAATTGTCTCTTACCTTTTATGACTTTTATACTTTTTATGGAGTAATAGAAAAAGTTGAATAAGCTGGTATAATTATATTAATATAAAGCCAAATATAGCCTATTTTTTAGTTACAAAACGTCGAAGACTAGAATAGTTATCGATCACCCAGTGGTTGACAACCTTTTCAGTATTCGACGAAAGAGAGTTTGAAGAATGGGTGTCGAAGACTGGAGGCAATTTATTATGTTTTCCAGTATTCGACAAAAAATAAATAAATAATTAACTATTATATTTATTACTTTATCATGAAATAAGGGTTCTAAGCCACATATTTTATGTATATTCGGCCAGAGATTTTTGATTGAAACTAATACTTCTATAAGTTATTGAGTTTTATTCCAGTCTTCGACAAGACCGCATTTCAGTCATCGACGGAAATTTTTTTTTGTTTGCAAGGATTTTTAAAGATTTACTATAAAAAAAATATTTCTTTTTGGATTTTAAATAAAAATTCCCTAAAGACTTTTTAAGGTTCGTAAAGTTTGAAATTAATGATGTTTTTGTAAAGATCTATATGCACAATCATTAACGATTGCTGGTTGAAAATGTTAATCCAATCAGTGAATGATTTTATAAGAATATAAACACATTTAATAACAAAAAAAAACATTCATTTAATTGAGAACTCATCGGTTCGGAATTTTTTTCCATCGAAATAAGAGTGATGCAGTTTAAAACGTTGTTAATAAATAAATCACAAATATAAATCTAATCTTTAAATCTCCGCTTTGTTTCCTACTCTGTGTTTTGACATTAATATTAATTAAATTAAAAGTAAAATGAAGCTAAGATGTCTCCATAAATAAACAGCTGCTCCAGAATCGCATCAAGATCCCAATATACTGAGGATGATATTGACAATACAATTGAAGACGTTAAGAGGTAAATGGGACATTTTTATTATCTTGTTAGTAAATTAATTCTATAATCAATTTTTACTGTAGTCATATTCTTACTATAACTTTCCGTATATTTTTTCAAAAAAAGTAAGTCTATTTTAAAAGCTGCCAAATCTTAAAAAATTTCTCGGATTACTCTGCATGATAAAATTAGTGTTAAAAACACCAATTGTCAAAAAGATGGGTCCGAACTCATTCTAGACTGGTGCAGAGAAATATGTGCTGGTAAATTATATATTAAGTGCGCAATAGTGTGATCTGCATGTCACAAAAGATACCGTTTTATCTCCTGTTTCTTCGTATTTTAATATATATATATATATATATATATATATATATATATATATATATATATATATATATATATACATATATATATATATATATATATATATATATATATATATATATATATATATATATATATATATATATATATATATATATATATATATATATATATATATATATATATATATATATATATATATATATATAGTATATATATATATATATATATATATATATATATATATATATATATATATATATATATATATATATATATATATATATATATATATATACATATATATATATATAAGCTATAATGACTTATAATTTTATTTTATTTCATTAGATATTCACTCTTCATTAAAAGAAACCCAAATATAGACATATATATCGTACCAGCGAACATTGAATATGAGCGCAGAAAGAATAAATCTTAGCAAGCAAGTAGTGCAGCATTGGCTTGCAAAGATAAAAGCATACTTGGCAGAAAATAGTATTCTTGACACAAAAAAAGAGATAAGCAGTAAATTTAATAAAGATGAATTGGGTTTTCAATCCTCAACAAAAAATGAAGAGAGTTTTGGCTAGGAAAGGTTTTAAAAATATCCTCTATGCAACATCAACAAATGCAAAAGAACGTGTTATAGTGCTTTGTAAGTTTGGCGTAGCTGTTAAATACCATGTTAATATTTCTATTTTTTTTTTTTCAAATGTTCATTTTACTCATATTAATAATAAATTATTTACAATATATTCTCTTTGAGTTAAGTTATGACAGGAGCAGGCAGAAGACAGAAGTCTTATCAGAAATCCATTGTATCTTTTACATAATATTTGAAAAAACTTAATCCATCATATAAGAATCTCATTAACATTATATTAAAGATTTTTATATTAAAAAATGCTACAATTTTTTTTTTTTTCCTGAATACAATACAAATATAAAAATAAGTTATGATGTAAACGGTGATATCGCTTTTTAATTTTATAATAAAATATAAAAGAGAATAAAATTAAGATTAAAAATAAAATAGTATTTGAGAAACGTCGTATTCAAGTAACTTTTTTAAAGATACTTTTAAAAGTTTGGATTGAAGTTGTAGTTTTATTATTTATTTGGAGAATTGAGTTCCACAAATGTAGCCTAAAAATTCCGGTTGTTTTAAAGTTTTTGGTACCAGATAATTATGCAATGAATGCTTTGTTTGATATTTATGATCTATAATAAAGAAAAGGTCTAAAAAAATCTTGGGTAGCATATGATATTTTAACCTAAACATAAATAAAATAATATTGAAAATAATTACTTGGTAAACATTCAGCACTCCAAGCTTACAAAGCAGCGGATTGTTACTTGTTTATTTATTATCATTTAATATATAGCGGCTTGCTTGTTTTTGTTATTTTAAAATACAAGTTAGTATTGACGCTTGCACAAACAATTTTACAATAACTAATATAGCTAGGAATAAATGAAAAGCTTTTAAATAGTTTTTATCTAACATATATCTAGTTTTATACATGATTCCAATACTTTTTAAAACTTTATTTTCTATCAGACTAATATACTGTTTTTGTTTTATTTGCTCATCGATAAAAAAGCCAAAGAATTTAACACAGTATATCCGTTGCAAATTGTTTTTTTCTAGTAAAAAATCCGGTAGTTTTAAAAGCAACGAATCAGATTTAGAAGATTTAGAAAAGAGAGTACATTTGCTTTTGGTAGGGTTCAGAGAGAGTTTGTTGGCTTTAAACCATTCATTAAGGTTATCAAAATCACTATTTATAATAGTAAAGATCGTGTTAATGTTAGAGTGAGTATATGAAATTTGAATATCGTCAGCAAAAAAGTTAAAGTTTAGTATACTAGATAATAAGTAAATATCGTTGGTATAAATAATAAAAAACAAAGGCTCTAGAATAGATCTCTATGGAACCACGCAGGTAATAACTTCTAATTTAGTGTAGGTGTTTTCGCAAACAATGTGTATCATAAGATACACATTGTTTGCGATTTTCAAGATTGGAACAAAACGATTTAAAGTTATTATTTTTGAAATATAATTTTCAATTTTGCAAAGAAGAATATCATGGTCAACTTAAAATTAAAGGCCTTGAAGAGGTTAATTAACATTTCAAGAATATATTGGTTGTTTTCAAACCCAATTATTATTTTATTAACTAATATAATTACTGCATGTTCTGTGGAGTGTCCTTTTCTGAATTCGTACTGATTATTATTTAGATCTTTGTGAGTCATAAGATAATTTTAAAGCTTATTATGCATTATTCGCTCTAGAATTTTAAAAAAACATGGGAGTATCGGATTAAGTCTGTAATTAGATAACTTTGAGATATCACCATCTTTAAATATTGGAACTGTTCTAGCTAGTTCCAAGAGATCAGGAAAAACCCTTTTTTAAATGAAAGATTAAAAATAATAAGTAAGGGGTACTCAATAATATAAAAAACTTCTTTAACAACCTTAGGGCTTATACCATCAAGGCCGGCACTTTTCTTTGATTTTACCATATTAAAAGCAAACCGTAGTTCGTCAGGCAAAACCTCAAGCTCATCCATTACATAATCCTTTTATTTTAGATATGATTAAAAAAATTTCTTCGTGGTGTTATTTTGTTTGCTAGGTTTTTACCCACGTTTATAAAAAAGTTATTGAAACTGGTTGGAATATCTTTTTTCTCAAGGTTATTGTTCTTTCATCCTCAGTATATAAATATTTCGGTAAATAATTACCACGAGTTTTCTTTACGTTTCCTATCACTTCCTTTATTGTATCTTCAGCTTTTTTTGTTATTTCCGATATTATGTTGTAATAAGTTTGAGAAATAATTTCTTTTAGCTTTTTTTTTTAGGTTTTCAAATAGGTTTTTGTGAGTTTTATATTTTTTTTCCGTTTTGGTATGTTTTTTTAAAATATTTTTCATGTAGTTTTTGTTTCTTCTTAGAAGATTTAACAAGTCTTTTTATGATTACAGTCAAGCGTAACGTTTTGGTCTTGGTCTATTAATATCTTTGCTATGTCTAATTATTTTATTAAAATACTGGACATTAATTTGCATTCAACTAGATGCATATTCTAATGTTCGGTTTACGTTTAAGTCTGCTCTTTTCTTTTTTTTCAGCAAACATTGGTGCTGATGGGTCTCTCCCTCTATATTTAACAATGCAAACGTAGAAATTCCAATGAATATGTACGAGGCATTTCCAGAAACGCTTGCTGCTATCAGTAAAAGCGAGTTTGACTATATAACAATAAACTTTTATATGATTATTTAGCCAATGCTTTTGACATATGGCTTATTGACAATAATATTCTAAGACCAGTCGTTGTCTAACCAAACAACGTGAATTAAGAATAAATTATCATCTTGTAAAACAACCGCCTGATCTTCAGAAAAATCTTTTCTTGCTTCCCACAAATACTACTCATTTTGTCTAACCTATTGATAATAAGATATTTTCCTCATTAAAACAAGCATGAGACTTGTGTGTTAAAAAATACAGAGCAAAGAGCAATAATATGTACATTACTAAGAAAACATTTACTCCAGTTTTTCTTTTTTTTTATTATTCTGCTATGAGAAAAAAAAAAATCAAGAATTCATTAAGAAAATCTGGCATCTATCCCTATAACCCAGAAGATATTGAGCATTTAAGCAAAACGTATGTTTTGAAGGTGTTTTGCTAGATGGAAAGGTGAAGCAAAGCACGCAAATAGATTCCAATCAGAAGGTCAATGCTAGGACTAAAATCTTATTTGAAAAATATTGCACTAATCACTGGGAACAGGCGTAACTATAAAGCTGTAAGTTATTTTTACTCATCAAATTTTTAAACTATTTAAATTTTAAATAAAAAATCATAAGTCATATAAACATTCAATCTGCTTAAATTTTACAGATGATTACTTAGATGCGATGACTGGGTCATAGAGTGTTCTCGTTTAGAGTTAATATGTTTTATCATTAGAGAAAAATTATTTAAATATTTACAAAAAAGAATATCAATGAGGCCTGTAGAGAAAGAAGCCGTTTAGAAGGTAATAATTATACTTCCTTTAAACTTTATTGAAATAGCATAGCCTATACAAAGTTGCATTTATTCTGTATATGTTTACCCAGACACTCCAATTTAATAATGGTTTCTTTATAAACAAATCTTTTTTTACGAGTAGAAAATAAAAATTTAATATGCCTTTTTTGCTACGCGGTAAAAAAATTTATATGAGATTCTTACGTGGAAGTAAACAAGACTAGGAGTAAGAACTTTACTTTTGATTTACATAAGATTTTTTTTTTTATTTTGGTTGCCACTACAGTACTGTAGTGGCAACCAAAATAAAAAAAAAAATCTTATGTAAATCAAAACTTTACCACATAAACGCTCAAGTAAAATAAAAAAATTTTAAAATCAAAAAGTTCTTGCCTGATTTTAATGTAAGCAACATTTGGGAATACACTTTATTTACAATAAAGTAAACAATTAGTTATAGATAACGTGAAATAAAATACAAAAATGTTTATAATAATAACTAAATTAAAGTTCTCAAAAGTATATTATAAAGTTAATAATATAATTAATAAATAATGAGTAAAAGGGTATATATTAATTAAAATTTTTAAAAATTAAATTTTACTTAAAAAGAATAAAAGCAATAAAAATTTATATAAAACCTTCTATCACTTAATAAATAATAAAAATAACCTCTTTCAGCTTTACAAATAAATCCATTTAGAGAACTGCAGTCTTCGTCGTTCCATCCATCGGAATTCATTTCTACACAATATTTTATTTTTTCATAATTATGTGGTCTACTTTTTCTCCAATTGAAGAATTGTGTGAATGTATTATCAGACCACACAAATTTTTTGTAATTCCAAAGTTTATTGAGGCCTATTTAAATAAACGTTTATTTTAAACAATGCTTAAAAATGTATTTCAACATAGAGAATGAATAATATAAGCATCATACCAATCCAATAATCACTATTATCTTTGATTAAATTGTTTTGTATGAATTGGTTTTCTTCTTGATTTTCTATACTTAGCAAATTTCCTCCTTTAGACTGACATGTTGAAAAAGATTCCATCCAAGTATATACATGCGGTTCATTTAAACTACTAACAAAGTAGCAATATTTTTTATAAACTATCCAACCTTCGGCACAATTATTGTTGGTTGCTTAAATATTAATTTGTTAAATAACAAATATGTAACAAAAAATATAATAAATCAATGACAATAACAGAGAAGAAAAAAATTAGAAAAAGTTATTTATCCAGTTATTTTTTACATGCAGTTGTATCTGCTTAAGATTTACTAAAGAGAAAAAAAAAACTTCTTGATAAGTGTTAAACAAATGGAATGAAAGAAAATTGGCTAAAAAAAGACTTAAAAAAAAATTTGCATTGTAAAGTCTAGTATAAGCAAAAGAAAATCCTGTAAAGCAGATATGGAGAGAAATTAAGGGTCATATAAAATGTACATAAAAGAGTTAAATCAAACATTGTACAGTTTGTAATCAATGATCGGTTAAGTGTTTTTTATTGACATAACGCTCTATTATGTATGGTTTTTTTTAATGTACCTTGAGTAAATTCAGAGCAAAAAATCAAAAACAAATTTAAAACAAATAGTGCTGAAAGGAGAAAATATCAGTGTAGGTTTTAATATCTTTTAACTGGTGATGACACAAATGATGACATTTTTTACTCATTCTTTATAAATCAGAGGCAATTTTTAAAGGTGATTTTTTTAAAAATGTGTCGAGAACAGCCCAATGCTAAATTATTATACATTACATTTGTGTCACAGTAGTAAAGAAAGATGATTAAACTATGTGTCCGCGGCTACCCTCCAATTTTGAAACATGCCTTTTTTCTAACATTTTTTCTTTTATGTTTTGTATATTATTAATGTATACAATAATTATTTTTTTATTTCTAATTCGATAAATGAATGTTTGAATTTTTAAAAAATTTCTTTTAACACTATTTTTTTTGCTAGCACACGTGCGCAATCTATATTTTCCTTAATGGTCCGGGGCTGCCTGACTCTCCCCTAATAATAACAATAAAAATAATATTAACAATAATAATAAATATTAATAAATAATAATAACATATTATTTTAAAAGTAGTAATAATAATATAATAATTATAATAATTTAAATATATCGATTTAATTTCCAAACAACAATCGATTATATATTCAAAGTTACAGTTACAAACAGATTTAAACTGATAAAACGTGTCAACTAACGGTTTCTTAAAAACGACTTCTACTCAAAAAATAGTACAATATAATATAATAACCAAAATATATTGAAAATAATATGACTTAATAAAAAAAATATATAAACAGAAAAATACTTAGAAATCAAAATAAAACAAACATTAAAAAGAAAACAAAAGTTACGTTACGTTTAGCAAAAAAAAAAAAAAAAAATTAAAAAATAAAAGAAAAATAAAAAGAAAAAAACAGCAAAAAACAACAAGATAAAATAAAATATAAAAAAGAGTAATAAATAAAGAATGAACGGTAAAATAATTTAAAAATTTAAAATCAATTAAAAAATATTTTATAACTAAAAAATAAAACCATAAGTCACTAACAGAAGCTTATAAGTAAAACTTAATGCGCTAAAAAACTAAAGAAAAATCATAAATAAATCATAAATAAATGGTAAATAAAAGAATTTTAAAAAATAAATGAAATAAAATTGAAGAAATATATTGTGTTTTTCTATAATTTATTACTTTGTTAAATATCAAAAGCTTTCTGTACTCGAAAACTTTTTATTTTTATTTTAGATAAAGAGTTAACTTAAAATGAAAAAGAAAAAAAAACAGTGTTTTTTGTGTATTTGGATTGATTTTAATTTACTTAAAATTATATTTGTCATTTAACCAATATACATTACTTAAAGATAAGTATATCTATATTGTAAATGTATATAAGGATATGTAAAATATTATATTATTATGTGCATATACATGCACATAATATATATATATATGCACATAATTATATTATTATGTGCATATATATGCACGCTTTATCAAAAATGTTAATTTTTTATTTTAAAATTGTTTATTACTTTACTAATTTATTATTTATTCTTTTACTTTCTATTGAAGTGAAATGTAAGTCACGGAAATTTTAAAATTTTGTATGCAAATCAAAGAAAATTAGTTTTTAGACAATAATTTGAAAACGTACAATCGATTTTATATACATATAATATTTGCAAAAAAAAAATTTGTTTACATTTTTTCATTAGCGGAATATAAATTGCAACATTACTTTTATTTAAAAAAACTATGCAACAGCTGAGTTACTGCAACCTTTCCGTTATTTAAAGGAAAAAACTTTAATTTAAATGGAAGTATCCGTTATTTTATGGAAAAGTTACGGCAGCTGCAATGACCAAATCTTCTGTTGTTTAACGGGAAAAACCTATCGTATTTTAAGGGGAAGAATATGTTTGTTAACGGAAACCTCCGTTTACATCCGCTGGATTTTTCCATAAAATAACGGGATGTTATGTCATCTGCAGCTGCTGGAACTTTTCCGTAAATAACGCGCTATTTTTTTAACAGTGATGAAGTAAACATAAAAACTTCAGAAGAAACAATTTTTTTAAGCAAGAGTAATAATCTACTTAAAAAACATTGAAAATATAACCCAGCTAGCACACATACGTTGTTAAACATGAGAACAATGTCGCGCGTTTCGTTGGCCCAACTTCGGCTGCAAACGTTGTTTTTATATCATTATGGTTAAAAATGCGATGTCGCCAACAACTAAAAACCAATGCTGATAAAACGTTTGATAACGCTTGATCATCGAAACTAAAATCATGTCTGTGTTGATTGTGGTTTGATATTTTAATAACCACATAAGATGTTATTTACTTTGTATAATTTCGAAATAGCATATTTTGGACGCATACTTTGTTACAATGTTGGATTTAGTTCGTAAAAACAGTCATCTTTTTGCTATGTAATCCAATGTATGTAATCTTTTTGCGCTGAGATCCGATGTATGTAAATACATTGGAGCAACATTAATTTATATACATTGAATCAACGTTGAAATATATATATATATATATATATATATATATATATATATATATATATATATATATATATATATATATATATATATTTCAACGTTGATTCAATGTATATAAATTAATGTTGCTCCAATGTATTTACATACATCGGATCTCAGCGCAAAAAGATAAAAAGATGGATCAACGTTGGGTTTAAATGGTAAAAACAATCATCTTTTCTTCGATGTTTTTGCATACGTTGGTAAATGCTGATTTATATACATTGAATCAATGTCGCGATAAATACATTGGATCCACGTTGGGTTTAGATCGTAAAAACAATCAAAATATTTTGACGTTTTAACATACATTGGAAAAACATTGATTTATATACATTAAATCAACGTCGAAATGTATACATTAAAGCAACATTGTCAACCTTGGGATTATTGTCGGATGTTTTTTGTTCCGTTGTTAATAATTTTATCATTAACTAAATGTTATTCGATCAACGTTGGTTTTGCATTGGAAAAAAAGAAACGACATTCGCGATGGTTTAAAATACGTTTGCCCAATGTATGTGTGCTAGCTGAAAATTAACTTTTTTCTTAATACTTTTTTTTTCTTAAAAATAATTTAAATAACTTTAAACAATTATTTCTATTAGTTTTGCAATAATCAGTGACAATATTTATCGTTTGGACACATTGAAATTCACCTTCTTCTCGTTCATTACTAAAAAACTACTTAACAATTATTTGAAATTTCTTTTCGCATGGAAGTTTATGTATAGAAGTAATAGGCAGAGGAGAGTTCTAGCTCATTTTTGTATTCACCCATATTTTTCAAGCATATATTTAATTACAATATATGATTCATTATCATCAATAGTGTGTATAAATATTATAACTAAGAAATAAATTTTTAAATCAATTTTTTAGATTTAAAAATCAGTATCAATTTTGTTTCTATTGTGTGACGTCACATGTCACATGACTTTTAATTTGCTCAGTGCGCATGCGCTATTTTTGAATCATAATAGCGCTTATGCATAGTAGTAGCATTGTCCTAATAATGCAGCAAAGCTTCCAGATTGACCAACTTGTGCATCATTAGAGTTGAGTGTCACTACCATTCTTCTACCGCTACCAACGCTAGGCATACTTTCAGATGAATCAAAGTTTCTATAAAATGAAATTGTAGTTGTTGAGCCAATTACACTACTTGATTAATAATGTAATCCTGATGATGTATTATTAAATGACCTTACATTAGATCCATTCCATGAAGAGAGATAAAAATCTTCTAAACCTGATGAAGCGTAGATGCATCGACTGTTAACATCATATCCAGAAAATGTTGAATATCCATTATTATTATAGGGAGTCCAAAGTTGAATGGCAGAGTTAGTATTAGTAGGAGCACCATATCCATCATATATGCGTACTCTAGATTCCCACCAGTTTCTAGATCCTCCAATGACATGCATTCTAATGTATTTAAAATACACTCCGTTTCCATTATCCATAGCATTCATTAGCATATATTCACTACCATAAGTTGTATTTAAATATCTAAATGTTGACGAGTAGAACTTAATCGATGAGATGGATCGAGGTATTAGCGGATTAATACTAGTTAATGTTTGTTGCAACGATGAAGTTCTTGTGATAAAAGGTTGCAACCAAAAGGTCTCTGAATTTCCTGTTTTATTGTATAATTGTATATTCAAACTTGATGTAAAAGGAAGATCAAATGCAAAATATCCTCTAATGCATTTGTACTAGATATATTACATCCTTGTAAAGAGTTTGCATAATAAGGTCCACCAAGTGGTGCAATTATTAAATCACAAGCTAAAGCTGTATTATTAATACCTACACCATCTGTTATAATAGAATCATTACCTATGCAAAGTACATTATCATCATATTTTTTTAAAAATAAGTTATCTGGTACAGTATTAGGTGCAATAGTAGATTCTTTAAATGCAATCCACAGTTTTCTTAGAATTCCTGAACTACCACTATAGCTAAAAATAGTATATGATTCTGGAGTTGCATAGAATGCTTAAGTTTTTTGTCCAAAGCATTTTAAACTTGTATTGGGAATGATATCTAAA